TTGAATTTGGCAAAAGGAAATTTGTGGTGATCTCTAGAAGTGATTTCAGAGGAGCAATGAGGACAGAAGCCAAACTAGAATGGATTGAGAACACCATAATACAAGATAGAAACTGCCAAAATCATGAGAAGTGAAAATTAATATCAATATTTCAGTAGTGTACATGATAGGAATTACTTCCAACCAGGGTTCATCAATACCACTTCCTGGAAGAGGCATTTGTATAGGATTCTAGAGGATGGGCAACATTTGAGTATATAGAAGCAGGACATGAAGGATGTTTCAGGCAAAAAGAACAATAGGAACAATGCCAGTAAAGGCAGAATCAAGCAAAAGTTAGATATGAAGGGGAAGGGCAAGCAGTGCAGTCTAGCTGGAGCACAGTGGCTGCGTGAAGACTAGGATTTAGCTAGAAAGGTACAGGTTGTTCAAGACTGGCACTGTCAACATGGTAGTCACTGGCTACACGTGGCTACTGAGCACTTAAAATGTGGCTAGTACAACTGAAGAACTGAAGGTTTAATTTGAATTAATGTAAATTTAACTGATACCCGATTCAGTTATAGGAACACTTTTAAGTATATTTGGAAGAACATGCATATATGAATAAACTTTTTCAAACAGTAGATTTTATGTAACCTAAATATAGACCAAGTATTTTCAATAAAAATGCAGCATCTGAATTAAGATGGGCTGTAAATAAGGTGACCATCTGTACAAGTTTTAGCACTGTAAGTCACACAACACAGGGTCACCCTAGCTGTAAGAGTAATCTATATTCTAGATGTCAAAGCATGTAAAGTAGCTCATTAATAAAAGCTTTTATTATATGTTGAGATAATAATATCCTGTATATATAAGGCTAAATTAAATGTACTAAGGTTAATCTCACCTGTTTTTTACTTTTTTTAATGTGGCCATCAGAAATTTTTAAATTATACATGCCTGGACTTCCCTGGTGGTGCAATGGTTAAGAATCCGCCTGCCAATGCAGGGGACACGGGTTCAAGCCCTGGTCCAGGAAGATCCCACATGCCACGGACCAACTAAGCCCATGTGCCATAACTACTGAGCCCGCGTGCCACAACTACTGAAGCCTGGGCGCCTAGAGCCCGCGCTCCGCAATAAGAGAAGCCACCACAATGAGAAGCCGGCGCACCACAACGAAGAGTAGCCCCCACTCGCCGCAACGAAGACCCAACGCAGCCAAAAATAAATAAATAAATTTATTATAAATAAATAAATAAATAAATAAAATTACACATGCCTGACATTATATTAAGTATTGGACAGCACTGGTCTAGATAAAGGCAAGCCTTTAAGACCAACTTGAGTTTTGGCTATTACTCAGTAGGATTTAAAGTGCCACTGAAATCTCAAAATGTCCACATAAATTTTTTTTAAGTAAAAGGAAGTATTGTAGCATTTGGAACTATAAAAATAAAACTGCCCTCTGGAGTTAAATTTTTTAATTCACTCAATAAATCAAAGGAGAAATGAAGTCACCAAGAAAAAAAAATGGTTTCCAGGCCTCTAAGACTTGACTAGTTTACAAAGGCTTTATAAATGTATAACACACATCAACCAAGTTCCTAGCTTTGGGTGCACGGCAAACCGTTTATAAACAGTCCTAATTAACAACCAACTTTTGTATTTATTCCTTCTTTTGACAGTCACAGGTTTACAGATCTACACAACATCTCATTTTCTACAAATCAGGAAAATTTCTAATGAATACCAGAGAATCATAGACAATGCTAGAACATTATGTAAGTTAACAGTTCTGTTTTTTTGGAGAGAGATTCTCAAAGACTGTCCCCTATCACTCATCCTCCAACAATGTCCTACAACAGAAAAATAAAAGTCAGAAGGATTATTTTGCCTAACATTTGCAATTCTGGGAAGTCTTATCTAGCACTCTGACTAGCATCTGGCTCCCGCCAACCGCCCATCCATAATTTAGGGAATGTCACCACCATCTAACCAGTTGCCCAAGCCAGAAATGTGATAGTCATACTAAATTTCTACTTCAACTTCACCCCATTCAAAGACCTTTTCAAATTCCACCTTCTTAATTTGTTTTGAAATTTTCTTAATACTTCACCCCAACCCAAACCTCCACCTAAGGCCCACATAGCTAAATATGGCAGAATTAGGATTAAACTAAATTTCTGTCTCTATATGGACTCTCTCTCTCTGGGTCATCTGATTCACCCCTGTGGTTTTAACTCCCAAATTGTATCTCCAGCTCAGATTTTTCTCAAAATACCTCAGAACTGGAAATCCAATCACCTACTAGAAACATCCACCTGAATACTGGGATGAATGAATATTCCATCCCAATCTCAAAGTATCCAAAAATTTAGTTTATCATTTTTCCCATCCAATTTGTTACTTATCACCTATTCTCCAAATGTTGGGATGGTTAGAGTTCCTATATTAGAAAACTGGACATCAATTTCTCTATCAATATCCAATTAATCAAGTCCTTCCCATTTTATCTCTATTTTTCAAATCCTTTCTCCATTTTTCATCCCAACAAATCCTCACCTGATCTCCCTTTAACAACCCACATCCAAACTTCAGAATGTGACCTACAAAGCTTTCCATGAACTGATCATTACCTACCTTTCCTGTCTCTATTGTCTTGTACTGAGTAATTCAACCATAAGAAATTGCTTGTAGTTTATACATGCACTAGGTTGTTTCTCATCGATCTTTTTTCATGTGCTCTCTATGCCCAGACAGACTTCTTTCCAATTTTAAGGAGCATGTGCAGGTCTCCAATGTCTACCCATGGAAGAAACGGTAAATCTAAGTACTCAGGTTCTACTGGCATTAAAGTCCAAGAATCAACAAAATCAGTCTATCCTGCTGCCCCTGGTAGAGGTTCTTGGGTACAGAAATCTACCATCAGGATGTATTCCTAGTCATAAAGTTTCTCCAGTGGGGCTTAAAGGCAGTAGCTAGTTATGCTCACTAGACCAGTAGAATGAGCATTATGGACATTCAGTTTCTTTAAAGCACAACTTCTGGTTTCTAATTTTCAGTTAAGTACCTGTTCTTGAGCATCCTTTCCAAAAGAGTGGCTGCCAAAATTCTGCTTGATTTAGCATCTTTTGTTGAGTCATCTGGAAGAAGTGACTTGCCGAGATAAGTCTAGGAAAAAAGGGCAAAGAAGCCATGTAGATGACCTGCAGTAATGTAATGTCACTAGGAGCAGGGAATGAGAATTGCAAGGTCAATCTTATTAAAGGAAATGTTCTGGGCACATGATATATCAAGACACTGTTCACTTGGAAATCACAACTTGTCATCCACACAAGGAAAATATAACAAAGTGCAATATCAGGCTTCTATATTCACAAGATATTCAGGTTTCTACTGACCAATGAGCATGAAAATGGATTTTATAATAACTCAGGTTTCAACACATTAATTTTTATGAGCTCATCACAAGAACAGAAGCTTCCCTGAGAGCTCACAGGAAAAGAGACTTACCATTGTACCTATACTAATTAAGAAGTGTCTGATAAATTTTACCTCATCTGCCCTGATGTCTTCTCAATCTATTAAGATGCATAAGCAACCTCTCTAATCTCCCAGAATTTTTTTTAAATTAATTAATTAATTAATTTTTGGGTCTTTGTTGCTGCCCGCGGGCTTTCTCTAATTGCAGCGAGTGAAGACTACTCTTTGTTGCAGTGCGCGGGCTTCTCATTGCGGTGGCTTCTCTTGTTGCGGAGCAGGGCTCTAGGCATGCGTGCTTCAGTAGTTGTGGCACACGGGCTCTAGAGAGCAGGCTCAGGAGTTGTGGCGCATGGGCTTAGTTGCTCCGCGGCATGTGGGATCTTCCCGGACCAGGGCTTGAACCCATGTCTTCTGCATTAGCAGGCGGATTCTTAACCACTGCGCCATCAGGGAAGCCCTAATCTCCCAGAATTTATTCTGCTTTCTTCTCTCACTATATTTTCCACACTATCTTTTAACTTAGCTGCCCTAGGTTCTCTAAATTGTGACCATCTTGAAGACTGTGCCATGTCTTTTTCATCTTTGCATCCCTAATGTGTAACAGTGTCTGACATTTGTTAGCAACCAATAAAAGTCTACCAACTAAGTCAAGTCTTCTTTTTAGTTGATTAAACCATCGAAAAATCGAAACCCATGCTACTCAAAGTAGCTAGCCCATAAACTATTTTTTTATGATAAGGAGTTTGAGCTAGAATGTGTAAAAGAATGGCTTCCTTTGAGAAAGTCTTGCTATGAAAAAATGTCTAGCTGGGATTTCCCTGGTGGCACAGTGGTTAAGAAGCCACCTGCCAATGCAGGGGACATAGGTTCAATCCCTGGCCCGGAAAGATCCCACATGCCATGGGGCAACAAAGCCCATGCGCCACAACTACTGAGCTTGTGCTCTAGGGCCCAGGAGCCACAAATACTGATGCCCACGTGCCCTAGAGCCTGCGCGCTGCAACTACTGAGCCCACGCACCACAACTACTGAAGCATGCACACTCTAGGGCCCATGTGCCGCAACTACTGAGCCCACGTGCTGCAATTACTGAAGCCCACCTGCCTAGAGCCCATGCTCCGCAACAAGAGAAGCCACTGCAATGAGAAGCCCGTGCACCGCTACAAAGAGTAGCCCCCGCTTGCCACAACTAGAAAAAGCCTACATGCGGCAACAAAGACCCAACGCAGCCAAAAAAAAAAAGTCTAGCTAAACTAAGTAGTGCTTTAGTGATACATCTGATTTACATTCTTGCCCCACTTTAAGCCAAACACTTGAAAGTTAGACAAAGACATTTTCATAAAGAAAAGATGCTGAGGAATGGATGGTTAAAATTAACTTCAGGGTCTTCATCCATTTTTATAATCATACATATATTTACAGATACCAAAAAAGATTAAAAATAAAGGCATCTATTTTCACTGGTAAAAAATATAAAATAAAATAAAGACACAGGGCACTTAAAAAAATTTTTTTAAAGCCAAGACGCATTTAAAAAAAAAAACCTAATAAATTTTTAATTAGAATTTTTTCCTTTTTTTAAACAGGACAAGTAACAGATTACATCAAACTTCAGAACTTCTCAAATATCTAGTTATTATACACATTCCCATCTGTCTTGCAGGGAGGGATCTTGGTCGGCTTAACAGTTTCAGGTAAAATAAGCTGCATAAAAGTATATATTACAATAATAAATGTACAATGTTTACATGGAATATGTTTTAGAAGCAAGAAAAAGATGCATCTGCATCAAAAGGCGACCTCTTAAAATGCCACAACTATTTTTTACATTCACTCTTATAACAGGTCACAAGATGGGGTCACTAAGCACAGATAAATCACTGTGATGCACATAAAATACAGAAAGATTAGTTATTTTATATATTATATATATTTTTTCACACTTTAGCATCTGAGACATAAACTGAGAATTTAAAATTTATTCTCTTCAGATAACAAATCATTTTTTATTCTTCATAAACATGGTGCCCACAAAAGCACATAGGTAAGGCACAATAGGGTTTTCTGTTACAGAACAGTGTGCATCATGTTTACTTAACCAGAAAACGTGCATTAACTGTGCAAGTTCATGCTGCAAACCCAACACATATACAATTAAAAAAAAAAAGAAAACTGAGCTTTAAACAAAATCAAAATTGGTACAATTCCAGCTGTTTCACATATTCATTTGGACTGACAATGACATATCAACATGTTATTTTTAAAAAGCCAATTGTTACATTACAAGTAAACTTTGCTCCGTAACTATTTTAATCTGAAATCATAAACAGTAATAAGGTAACTTCACTGAAACAAAGTAAATACTGAGGCACAAAGCAACCATCACTCCTGCATTTACTATACTGCAAACTTTCATGACCCAAAATTGCAAATATAATTTCTCAAATACACATTTTGCTGCAACAATGTGCCCTGCTTTAAACTTGACATACAACAGGGAAGCTAACATCTCATTAAATTATAAATAGATTGGGAAAATGACTTAATCCCAATGGTACTATGTCATAGCCCTAGTATTTATAATAAATACAGCTTTTCACAAAATACTTTTCCAATGTCTGCCAATTGCTTTTTTATTGCTCACATAAATTTGAATCCCTTACAACTGGTATCAGAACTTTCACACAATATCATACTCAGACATTTTTATATAAAACCTATAAAAGATATTTTAAACTTTTATCTAATACTTCCAGGTGTTTGGCTGTTTGATCTATATGATAGTACAGCCATATGTATATATGTGTGTGTATATATACACATATACACATACATATATATATACATACACACATATATACACATACATATATATATACATTAGATTATGAATAAAATAGGAAGCTTATTTTACTGCTTTAATGCAGATATCCTCACAAAACAAGACTACTTTCGCCATCACCAGCATTTATACATATATACAAAAGCCAGTTTAAGTACATGTACATCCACTTATACTTATATGTAACCACTAAACCCAGATTGATTTTCCCATATTCCAGCTATAGCAAATGAATCTCTTACAAGCAATAGAAACCTAAGATTAAATTGGGAAATTAACAGTTTTACCACATTAGCCTGTAAGGAACTATGTAGGTGACTGTATACAAAAATTCACAACATTAGTTTACAGGAAATTACGGAAATACAAGAAGCCTTTTCACCATGCTTTTGTGTGGTTATCCAAACACTTCTTGGTGCAAAATTAACAACCACCACATCTGAAAATGCTTAATAAGGTCAATGTTCCTCATGCAAAACTTTAAGTGCATTGGCTTAACTGAGCTCCAAAAACTGAATGAAACAATTATTCTATCTACTCAGCATTGCTGCTTCACTGCTAAGTCCCTTTGGAACCTTAAGATTTCTGGAACGTTCAAACAGATCTGTACTCAATAAAAATATTACATACAAAAAGCATTTAAAAAGGGAGACGAAGCCAAACAGGAATTTTCCTATTGTAAAGAACAGTCCTAGGAGTGGAAGAAAGTCTTTTCAGGAACCTCCTTGAGAATTGGCTAGGCCAGTCCGAAGACGAAGATGAGACATAGAGTTCATATGTTTATTTGATGGCTTCAAGGGAGTGTTGCAAGTAAGAGCTTGGGGAAAGCGATGGTGATATCTATCTAGTCGTAAATATTTTACTGTAACCAATTTCCCTGTTGTAAGATAAAAATAATATTTTAGATCTGTATGAATGTGCTTAATAGAAAACAAACTGTGGTAAAAGATATATGAACACAAAATAATCTAAAATTATTACTCTAAAAATGCTAACCTAAGATTCTTTAATTTAAAATCTGGTATAGTTTAACAGTAAACCATAATTTATCTTTTCAAAATGTTTGTCATACTCAAATTTCTTACCATCAAACCAAGAGCCATGCAATGCCTTAAAAGCTTTCCCAGCATATTCTGGAGACAGACATTTAACATATACACAACCCTGTGATATTTTTTAAAAAAATAAAAAGGGAAGAAAGAAAATAAATAGTCTTAGTTTAGTAGCAACAAATCCAAAACGTAGAATTCAATAGTAAAAGTTACTTTACCTCACGTGAATTTTTGTCTACTGCAATGTGAACAATGCCATCATTATCACTGCATTTTTCTAAAATTGCTTCTTGAATTGCCAAATGCCACTGATCCCCTATTTCCCTAAAAAATTAATGAAAACAAAAATCAACAGCCATCATCAAAAAGTCTACAAATAATAAATGCTGAAGAGGGTGTGGAGGAAAAGGAACTCTGCTACACTGTTGGTGAGAATGTAAATTGGTATAGTCACTATAGTCAGTATGGAGGTTCCTTAAAAACTAAAAATAGAGTTACCACATAAAACTGCAATCCCATTCCTGGGCATATATCAGGAGAAAACCATAATTCAAAAAGATACATGCATCCCAATATTCATCCAATATTCATAGCAGCACTATTAATAGCCAAGACATGGAAGCAACCTATGTCCATCGACAGATGAATGGATAAAGATGTTGTATAGATACATAAATGGAATATTACTCAGCCATAAAAAAGAATGAAATAATGCCATTTGCAGCAACATGGATGGACCTAGAGATTATCATACTAAGTGAAGTAAACCAAACAGAGAAAGACAAATATCATATCATATTGCTTATATGTGGAATCTAAAAAAATGATACAAATGAACTTATTTACAAACAGAAAGAGACTCACAGACAAAGAAAACAGTTATGGTTGCCAAAGGGGAAAAGGGGGGAGGGATAAATTAGGATTTGGGGATTAATTTACACACACTATATACTTATACACATTATTTTATATATATAATGTATACATAAAATAAACGTAAAATAGATGTAAAATAGATAAACAACAAGGATCTACTGCATAGCACAGGGAACTACACTCAATATTTTGTAATGACCTATAAGGGAAAACAATCTGAAAAGGAATATATATATACACACACATATATATGTATAACTGGATCACAGTGCTGTATACCTGAAACTAACATGGTATTGTAAATCAACTATACTTCAATAAAAAGAAATTTTTTTAAAGAATGAGCAAAAAAAAAAAAAAAAACACACAAAAGGTCTGTTGTATAACCTAAATATATAAAACTTTTACTTTTCAGTCATACCTCAATACAGCTGGGGGAAAAAAGAAAAAAAATTAACAGCTATATTCCTACTCAGAAGAAGTCTTCTGTTTTTTACAATATATATACCCAACTAGAATGGGAATAGTTTAAAAACCATATAGTTAAAATTAACAGTATATAAATGCTTGTTACTAACAGTAGGTAGATTAAAAAATAATTAGCATTCAGAAGTCCCAGCCCTGCTCTCACTTTCCAGTCTAAGAATGCACATGCTGAGGCACTGAAGGATCTCTACTATAGCAGAATAAATGTGCTATCATTTTTACGTTTAAAATCCTACATACTTAAAGTCATTTCTCTTTTCTATCTAGACAAATGTTAATAAGCACTTTAATGAGTTACAGTAAACTTGTAAAAGTAAAGTATTATTTTTTAATGACATTTTCAAATTCCTAAACTTAAGGAAAATTCTTAGTATATAATGTATTCTGAGCTTCTTTTTTTCCAAAATAATAGAAGCGTGAATATAGGACAAACATTTTGTACCTAAGTCACCTTGTACCTAAGTCACCTAAGTAAGGTGACATAAATCACCTTACTATTACGAAACAGCTCCCGCTACAGTAACGCACATTTGTTTTTCTTGTGAGATATAGACGGTGGGTCCAAGGAAAAGGCTGTTACACTTCAAATTGTAAATCTTCATCTCAGGTAATAAAATACTGGACTGGCAGAGACTTCCTAAACCCTAAGGTATGAGGTAAGATTCCAAATAGAGGGATCACCACACCGTTAATTGTTTCTACCTCTGCAAAATGGAGGGAATGCGTGCGTGTGTGCGTGTGTGTGTGTGTGTGTACTGACAGTGCTTTGTCACATTTACAATTTTGCTGTCACTCATTTGGAATCTTACCATATCAACTATTTCTTGAAATAAATGAGCTATCAGATGGGACTTACGGGTATTTTATATGTAATACAATTTCTACTGTCAGCTTTTTTTAAAAAACAGAATTTGACTTGTCCTATCATTGGACAGATAAGTAGTCACCTCTAGGAAGCAAGTTCTAAAGATTATTACAGCTTATATGTGAAGTATTACGGATTCTAAGGCAATAACTTTTGACTGTGCTATTTTCTGGATGCATGTGTTGTTGTAATTACATAGACAGAAAAGTTTCTCAAACAGTAAATGGACAAGTCTTGTAGAGGGGAAGGTATGTACATTTTTGTAGAAAACTTTTTAAGAGTAGGATTTGGAAATTTTTAAATAGCAGATATTCTATCTATATTGCCTACTGAGGCAAAGAATGGTGGCAGACACGACTTATACATCTAATAAAGGGTACTGTTGTCTGTCATCATATCTGTCATTAATCTGACTCAAGCATTTATCTGCTGTGGGGATTCCCAGTGAATGCAGATTTATATAAGTTTTACAAATCATTATACATCTGTGTCTTTTGGTGAAACCTTTGCTTGAAATTTAACAAAAAAGAAGAAATGAGAAAAACAGAACATCTCGGTAGTTAGAGATTCAGAAGTAGAAGATTCTTCTATTACAGACAGCATTATAAGAATATCATGCATTTTTCAGCCAAATATTCCAAATAAAAATTACATGTACCTTTCGTCATAATACTTACATAACTGGATCAAACATATTTCGAATCTTTAGACATGGCGTCAAACTATTTGGTGGTGAATTTCTTCTATCTAAATGAAATGCTATAAAAAACAAATGAGTTTTACTATTTTCCATTGTTCCATTTTGTTGAAAAGTATTCAGCCATTCAGTTTATTCAAAAAATATTCACTGCGTACTTTTATTATGAGCCAGACCCCTGGATCAAGGTGAATAAGACAGACACAGTCATTGTTCTCAAAGACTTTAGTTTAGTGGGGGAGACACACAGTCATTGTTCTCAAAGACTTTAGTTTAGTGGGGGAGACAGATGAAAAACAGTGTCACCCAAGAAATCATAATTGTGGTAAATCCTAAGAAAGAAGAGTACAGAAAGCTCTCAGTGTAACTGAAGCTAATCTGTGAATATCAGGTAACACTTCAAGGATAAAGTATAATTTATGCTGGGACCTAAAGAATAAATACAATATAAATAGGCAGAGTAAAGAGAGGTGTAAAGGACATCTCAAGCAAAGGTGACAGCTTGTACAAAGCCCAAGGCAAGAAGGAACTTGGTATATTTGAGTAACTAAAAGATAGTCACTGTGACTAGAGTGGGGACAATAGAAAGATAAACCTGAAGAAGGGGATGTTGGATGATGGAGGACCATGTAGGCCACATTAAAGCACTTAGACATTACCATAAAAGTGATGGGAAGCCACTCAAATGTTTTAAGGAGAGGAATAGTATGATAAGATCTCTTAAAATTATAAAATTTTTAAATAGAGTGTTATGTGGAGAATCAATTAGACAGAAGCAAAAGTGAATGCAAGGACACCAGTTAGGAGGTTATTATAGTTGTCTAAGAGGGAGATGATAGTAATGTGGATAAGACAGGCCAGCAATGCAGATGGAAATAACTGGACAGAATCAGGACATATTATGGAATAGATCTGACATGACTTGTTTAAAGACTGCACATGTGGGGGCTAAGGGAGAGATTAAGGATGACTCCCAGGTTTATGACAGAACCAACTGAGGAGGGGCAGGTATCATTAATTAGACAGGAACACTGGAGGAAAGGTCAGTTTGGAGAGAGAAGACATTAGGTTCATGCACATGTTGAATTTCCAGTGCTTCTTAGTAAAGAAGACAAGTATACAGATGGGTATAAAAATCTGAAAACAAGAACAGAAGACTTAGTGCGAGATATAAATTTGAAAGTTATCAACATATATATAAAAAATGAAGTTGCAGTATAAGATCATCTGGGAAGACAGGGAGAATGATGAAAGATGGCCTGGAAAAGCCCCAACACCTAGAGGTCCAGGAAAATCTAGAAAAGAAGATTTAAGAAAGGGTAAGAGGTAGGATGAAAACCAGAAGAAAGTGGCAACCACAAAGCCAAAACAAGAAATTTCCAAGGCAGGCTCAATTGTTAATACTGTTCAGTAAAATAAGGACAGGAAAGAAAAATGTCCGCTGACTTTAGCAATATTGAAATCTGAGAGCTGTTTCCTTGAAATGATGGGGATGGAAAACAGATTGGAGTCAGCTGAAGAATAAATGGGAGGTGAAAAAGTAAAGACAGTGAGTAAATTGTTTAATGCTATTTGGCTATAAATAGGTAGACAGCTATAGGACAATGTATAGTGCACCAGTGTGTTTTAAAGATGAGACTATAGTATGTTTAAGTGCTGATGAAAAGATCCAAGAGAGGCAGGGATTTAAAACACAGTAAGGGAAGACACTTGAGAAGACCAGAGGGAATGGGATCCAGAGGGATCCTCTGAAGAGAAGGGCTCGGATCTTTGTTAAGTGAAACAGCTCCTCAATTGCAAGAGGAGGTGAGGATGAGTGTAGATTTTGGTAATTCTATGAATTTGGTGGTGGAAATTTGAGGCAGGTACAATCTGACTGTTTCTATTTGAGTCATCAGCTGAGAATTAGAAGACAGAGAAGAAGGGCAAAAGGTTTGAAAAGAGGGGAAGAAATATAAAATTGTTATTGAGTAGAGTAGGTAAGTGAAGTGACTAGTAAAAAATGGTAAGAATAAGAAAGGCAGGTAGCACTGAAGACCTAATTGAGGTTGATTAGTTATAAAGGTACCAGTCTAACAAGTTGCAGGATTTTCTCCTGCTATGCTCATCCATTTGCATATAGACAGGCACAGATAAACAGTTTCATCCTTGGTTGGAATATACCAGGTAAGATGAAGGACAAGTGATGACATATGGGTACTAGCAAGAGAGTGATTGAAAAGATGGATCATGAAAACTAAGATGCACAGGAAAAGAAGTAAAGATAGGAGAAATGCTGAAGAACTAGAGAAAGTAGGTGCATTGAAGGATCAGATTCTGGAGTTCCCAAATACATAAAGCAGGAAAGTTGAAAGGATGAGTTTATGATAAAGACCAGAGCGTATCAATTAAAGATTTCAGAACTGTCAGTGATAAGAAACATCTGGAGTATAAATGTCTGAACAGTGCCTGATATGGGGTGGAGGAAGGGTCACTAGACATGAAAATCTTTGCCAAATCTCAGATCAAGAAGGTTTGTGAACATCTAGTACTTTCCGAACTTCTCTACCAGTGTACAGATTCTGTTCTTAGATGACCTTTTAGCTGCAAACAATCTGACTTCCTTGAAATTCCAATAACGGCCTGGGCCAGCAGGGGATGCACCAGAGAAAACAGAAGTATTCATACCACCTTATCCTAGCCTAGACCCAAGTTTCCACAAAATAACAGACCTGGGAGAAACTATCCCTGGCCAACTCTAGTCAGAAAGTAGTCCAAAAGATCAAATTGATTTTTAAGATATAAGCTTTATCTCCCTAACTAAACCCTAATTACCATGGCCATGTAAAGATACAGTAGTTATTGAATGATACATTTCAAGTACCTCAGGGACTACCTTTGGGTCCTTCAAATGAATGTTGTTTATACCAAACACTACATTTGTCAGAAGCATAAATAATTCTCTGGCTCCCCAGCAAACTGGTACTTTAAAATAACTTTAGGGGCTTCCCTGGTGGCGCACTGGTTAAGAATCCACCTGCCAGTGCAGGGTACACGGGTTAGAGCCCTGATCCGGGAAGATCCCACATGCCGCGGAGCAACTAAGCCCGTGCGCCACAACTACTGAGCCTGCGCTCTAGAGCCTGCGAGCCACAACTACTGAGCCCGTGTGCCACAACTACTAAAGCCTGCACACCTAAAGCCTGTGCTCTGCAGCAAGAGAAGCCACCACAATGAGAAGCCTGCGCACCGCAACAAGGAGTAGCCCCCCGCTCGCCACAACTAGAGAAAGCCTGTGCACAGCAACGAAGACCCAACGCAGCCAAAAATAAAATTAAATTTAAAAATTTTTAAATAAAAATAAATTAATTAAATAAAATACCTTTAGAGATACTAATGTTATCACTGAATTTATATTTAACTACTTTTTAGAAATTGAACTAAAAATTCAATAAGGCTGATTATTTAACAGTTACTTGGGAAAAGTATCATTAAATGACAACAGCTTGTAGTGGTAGTGAACTCAAAAGACTACCGTAATTACCAACCCTCCAGATATGTACCATTTATTTATTTGGCCATGCTGCATGGCTATGGGATCTCAGTTCCCTGACCAGGGATTGAAATCCAGTGAAAGCTCAGAATCCTAACCACTAGGCTACCAGGAACTCCCCAGACATGTACCTTTTAAACCACTGCATTTATAAGGGGAGAAACATTAAGCTTGTTAGTAAGTTAAACTATCTGTTCACATAAAAAACCATCAGAACCCTCTAGTATACGCCCATTTTTATACAGTACAACATTTGTGCTCAGATATATTTAAATGAAAGCAAACTTATTTTATGTATTAATCATTTTAAAAAGCTAGGTCAGAGTCATTTAGTTACATTTAAATAGACTATATATTTAATAGCATAAAAATGTAAGTAATATTAACACTAAATTCTCTCTGTATTAGAGCTATACGTTCTTAAATGAGGCAAAAAGATGTATAACTATCATTAAGAAAATTCCAACAACTTCTCATTATCAGCTTTTTGTAACAATTCTTCTTATGATGAAATTCTTAAAAGAGCTCAGGTCTTTCTTGCTATAAATCTAAAGACTTCCATTTTATCACTACAACCATCCAAAAATTGAATTGGTATACTTCAAGTAAATAGTTACCAAGTGTTCTATGTCAGAATTTTCTGCTTTCAGGCTAAAATTATCTCAGCCATTACACCTTTTTTTCTATTTGCTAAGTAGCAGGTGTCTTACTTTACTCTCAATTCCTTTCTAGGTCCAGGAACAGGGCCCTAATCACTGTAACTGTTTATCAAAGACTGTCAAGAAAAGAGAGATTAAATTTACAATTCTTTACATGGCCCATTTAGAAATATGCAAATTAAGGTAGCTCAGTACTTGGCATATAGTTTCCAAACATTTAATACACTGAAACTTGGATAAAACACTTAATACGTAAAAAGTAGCTGGAGGGCTTCCCTGATGGCGCAGTGGTTGAGAATCCGCCTGCCAATGCAGGGGACATGGATTCGAGCCCTGATCCGGGAAGATCCCACATGCCACGGAGCAACTAAGTCCATGCACCACAGCTACTGGGCCTGCTATCTAGAGCCCGTGAGCCACAACTATTGAGCCCACGTGCTACAACTACTGAAACCCGCACATCTAGAGCCTATGCTCCGCAACAAGAGAAGCCACTGCAATGAGAAGCCCGTGCACCACAACGAAGAGTAGCCCCCGCTTGACACAACTAGAGAAAGCCCGCACACAGCAACAAAGACCCAACACAGCCAAAAATAAATGAATGAATTAATTAATTAAAAAAATAAAACTATAAAACTTCTAAAAATATATTTAAAAAAAGTAGCTGGAGATTTAAAAAATATTGTATTAATTCAGGTTGAGTTTTAACTACTACTATAACTGACCTTAAGTTGTATTTTATCATTTTTGCACAGTCTTTTCCTAGCTAAAGATAATGATAAAGTGAAAATAATAGTCTGAGGTTTTAAATCCTAGAGATTATAAAGTGTCCAATTTAACACACTTAAATAAATCATACCACTACTAATTTTTAAGAACAACATGGATTATGTAGTTGAAAATTGCCTTTGGATTCATCTTGAAAATCTCACTTATTTTAAATATCTTATTTTAAAATAAGACAACTATAATGATAAAAAAAAATGCATATGAACAAAAACAATGGCCTAGAACTTCAGATGCATACATGAGCACCAACTGTTAGCTCTATGATGAAATTAGGCTGAGACTCCACATGCATCATTATAAGGCACTAAGGTAATCAGATCTGACTGACAGCCTATGGTTTCAGAGGACCATTCTGCATGTACCCTAAAGCAAATAGTTTATGGTTTAGTGTCATTTTGGAAACATAAAAACTTTATTTTTATGCCACGATTATATAAACTATTATTCAAGCTCTTTGAAAGTGAAAATCAATTACAGAAAATCAGGAAGAGATTGGATTTTATTTTATTTCAATTTCAAAACAATTAACCTACCTTTCCCATATAGTCTATGTTTAGCAAGCATTGATAAATATGCTTTTTATCCAATAAGATTAAAAGAAACTCAACTCATTACTAGTTCTGAAATACAAATTAAACTAGCCATGAGATTTCTTTTTGCAAATAACCATTAAGATACAAAAAATTCAAATGAGGTAACAGTTATCACTTTGGATACGTAAGGCAACCAAACACCAAACCCTCTTATAAACTTACAAATACCTATTTTTGCAACTATGCAAGCATTAAGAAAAATATGGAATGATACCCACAAAAGCTACTTGGCATGGGATATGCAGGTGGAAGACTCTTAATGAAAAAGAGAAAGGCAAGCAAAAATTGAAAAAAGAGCAGTTAAAAGTTATAATTCCACTTACACATGTTTTAAATACAAAACAAATTATGTGTCTTATTTGCATAAAAAATCAGGGAAAAAGAATGCAGTTAGATCTTTAATATACTAAGTTGCTTTGGTAAGTGAAAGAGGGAAAAAAATCAAAGTAATGTCTCTAGAATTCTATCACAGTGAAGACAAACCATGTTGTTTATATTAGCAAGGAGAAAAGTGGGAGGACATGTAAGAAGCTAACACTGATTCCTTCTATGGGATGGAACTGGAAGGGAACTCTGCCTTCATACATCTTTCAGTTATACTATTTTACTTTAAACACGTAAGACTTTTGCATTTGAAAAAATTACATTTATATTTTTTTGTTGTTTAAAAATACATACCTTGACCTTGCCACACTTTAGAAGGTATTACTAATATTTTGTCACAGGATGCAGAAGGCTGGATCCACCGCCAAACTAGAAAATCTGCACCACCTATTCTTCGTGTTTCCGTGCGAACTCTAGACTCATTAGCAGCAAGGAAGTCAACAGCTCTATCCCAGACTTTCTTCATTTTTCTCCTATCATTTGAAGGAAAATGACAACTTTACTATCATCTTGGCTTGTCATCTTTTTCAAATATTAGTCATTGAAGGTAGTGGTTACTCTTAATGCGGGCTGTTCTTATCACTGCATATAGAGGAGTTTTTTCCAAAAAGATTTAGATGACTGAACCTCACCTCAGATTGACTATATTTGGAACAATGCACTGGTATTCCCCCTGCCCTGGCCGCCTCCCGCACAAAAGCTCCACTGGTGATTCTGATGTGTTGCTAGGGTAAGAATATTGCTTTAGAATGTGACATCATCTTTTATTTTCAAGAAGTTATTGCTTAATTCTTTTATTTAAAAAGCTTCATTAACAACAAAAGGAAGTATTTTAAAACATTATTAATAAAACATCTCTGGCTGTTCTCTGTCTCTGTTTCCTTATCAAGACAGAATTAAAGGAAATAAGGTAGAGACTGACAACAAAGAATCAAAAGTGTATATTTTGAAATCCAGTTGTCTATTATGCCACTCAAAATCAGGAAGATAATAGATGAAAATTTAGAAAAGAGTTTAAAGTACAAAAATAAAGCCTGTACAATAAAACAGGTCTAGTTGAGAAGGGTCACAACTCTCAGTGTAATTTTCATGACTGCAGAAGATACCAACATTGAACACACCTGTCGTGAGGCTGTATTAAGGAATTTCGCACATGGGGAATAGGCATGTAAGGCTGTAAATCTTTATTTTCCTGGCAAGCTTCATTATGACTTCGTAAAACATCTGAAAGTAAATCAAACAAATTTACAAATGAAGCAATCACTGGACATCATGTAGTTTATCACATAATGACTATTCTAGAAGTAGTTTAGATTTTTACAAATACTATACCTATAATCTTTACCACCATATCATACATCTGCCTTGTTTCTTCTTCCTCTTTTGTCCAGCGATATTTCATGTAACGCAGAACAACGCAAACCATCACTACACCTGCAATATTTATATATTGTTTTTAAAACTGTGGTCAATGGCATTCAATAATATTCACTGCAACTTGAAGTTATTTTGTCAGTTGTTAAATGTGGTATTAACAAAATAAAGCAAAAAAAAGCCATTTTGACAGTTTCTACAGTGACTATTTTAACTGCCATAATGGGATAATGGAATAAGCCTTCAAGACAGTGGTCTGAATTAGCTACATGATCAAATTACATAGAAAAATTTAATATTAAACATTTCCCAGAGTGTCACTTAATATCTCCAGAAAAACCATTTCTTCATTACGTTGACAACTGAACATTTAAATTCTATTATTTTTTTGAAAACAAAGTAACATAACTATGTTTCACTAACTTTTTTCTTTCAGCATTAAGCTACGAGAAAAGTGAGTCTTATGAGACTGTAAACAAACTACCTCTAACTTTAAGTAACCTGAATTATTTTTACAGGAATTGGGCAGAAAAAAGAAAAAAATATGAGTATCTCCTAAATTCCTGTTATGAATCAAAACAGTCACATAAAATCTAGGAATCTGAATGAAAATTTTAATTCATTTAATGGTATTTTTTAAATTAAAAATAATTTTAATTAAGTTAATTTCTAATATAGTATTTTAAAAATAAGCTTAATTTTTGTATCTTCCTGTTCTACTTCCTAAAGTAGATTTCTATCTATGCACTAAATTTGCTTTTTCTGTGACATTCACATGACAAAGTTTGATTCCCACCTCTCCTCACAGCACTGTTTTCTAAGCGCTTAGATTGATACGGACATTATAGAAACCCTCAATATTCTTATACCTTACTGAAGACTTCTGGATGCGATTTATAATGACAACTATCACAGAAGTATATTCTCAATCCTGGCATTTGGTGAAATACGACACAAAAATTCTAGATTACACTGTATCTGCTGTCTCATCCTCACAACTTACCTAAGCATAACAACAATAACCTGTGGGTGACAGTAATAAAAGCACGTCGAAAACGACACCAGAAGGACATCTGTGGTCTTGTGGATTGCAAAAAGTGTACATCAACTATATCTGTCAATTCTTCCTCAGGGCCATAACCAACACACCTATTTAAAAATAATTAAGGGAGAGTTTAGAGTCAAAATCACTTCTTAGACTACAAAATGGACAAAGTGGAAACCAAATCCTTTACCTTATTCCAACATCTTTTCCATTTTCCAAAATCCACTGCAATGAGATGTTAAATGTATCTTCATATTCAGGACCTAAATCCTAATAAGAAAAATAGAGAAAATAACTAACTATTCTTTATAATTCATATCCACTTGTTATGTGTAAGTTGTCCTATAAATAACATACTTTATATAACACTTTAAACTATATAACATAATAAAAATATATTATTCATTACAGAAAAATGAAAGAAGAAAAAAGTCACCATTTCCCCACCACCCTAAGATAACCACTGAACATTTTGCTATGTTTTCTTTTCATTTTTTTATTTACAGATTTAAAAAAATAGTAATTTTCTTTTCAAGTATCATTGTGATTAAGAGTAAATTAGTCCCCCCCCCTTTTTAATGGAACACTATCTGCAGATGAACAAATGACAATTATTCAGACTTGGATGTTTAACAGCTGTTTTCTCAACAAGTGAATGAAGTTAAGCCCATCAACTCCAGAAAAACAACTGATTGTGTTATCAATGACAAAATTCAAGTTTTCAAGTGAAAAGTAGAATTTCAAAAAATGCTTATCCATTACTATGAGCCTAACAACTTCACAATACTTGAAAACCTTTGCAATAAGACTATGCTGTGATATTAACAAATGTGACTTTTGAGCATGGCATAATAAAATGTGTCAACATTTGGAAGATCTGCATAACCAGTGAACCAATATTTTCCAAAATAACAATCATCAGCTATAAAATCTTGCATGGGTAAAAGATCTATTCTAAGTGCAAAACAGACCAAAGGGCTTTAGTATGAAAAGTATGAGTACGAAAAGTTCGCTGACATAGCTTTAAATTCTACATTGCCGCTAATCTTTAAGAAACTACTACTTGTAGAGTTTTGGTATTGAAGAATATCTACAATTATCGGAATAGAGAATTAAAATACTTTTCCCCGTTTTGACTACGTATCTGTGTGAGGCTAGATTTTCTTGAGGTACTTCAACCAAAACAGCATCACGATGGATTAAATGAAGAAGCAGATATGAGAAGCTGGTTATTTTTAATTAAGATAGACATTAAAGAGATTTGCAAAAATATAAAACAATGCCACTTCTCACTAAATGTTTTTATTTTGGAAAATATAGTTATTTTTATAAAAATACAGTATTTATGTTAACGTAATAAATTCATTATTCTTATTTTAAATGAATAAGTAAATTTTTTTTTTTTTTTTTGCGGTACGCGGGTCTCTCACTGTTGTGGCCTCTCCCGTTGCGGAGCACAGGCTCCGGACGCGCAGGCCCAGCGGCCATGGCTCACGGGCCCAGCCGCTCCGCTGCATGTGGGATCTTCCCGGACCGGGGCACGAACCCGTGTCCCCTGCATCGGCAGGCGGACTCTCAACCACTGCGCCACCAGAGAAGCCCCGAATAAGTAAATTTTTAAATGTTGTCTTAACTTTAACATGGCAAATGTATATCTAAATATAAATAAATACATATCTAGCCCACAAACAGATGTCATTTAGAATCATCAGTAATTTTAGGAGTGCAAAAAGTTTAAGAATTGCTGAGCATAAATGGATTATGAATTTTTTAAATCAAAATATTAAAAAAAAAAGTGGTATTATATTACACATAGTTTTTCTACTTGCTTTATTCACAGAATGAGGTGGCATGAATGTCAATGTCAGTACACATGGAACCATCTCAATTTTTTCCAGCAATATTCCATTGTGTGGTTATTTTACACTAATCACCCCCTTATTAATGAACATGAAGTGTTTCCAATTTCAGTATACCAAATAATACTGTAAATAAACATCCTTGAAAATTGCTTCATTCAAAATATTTATAGAGGGCTCACTATGTGCCAGGTACTATTCTAGGACCTAGAGATGTAGCACTAGACAAAAAGCTGAAATTCCCTGTGCTCATGGAGCTTGCATTCTATTCAAAAATTATGTCTTTATGTACTTTTGGAAGTGCAAAAAATGAATTTCTAAAAGTAGAAATAAGAAATCACTTTTTAAAATCCCTTAAAAATGTTTATAAGGAATAGCTATTGAATTTTAACAACATATTCTTCAACAGCTTTGGAAATTACAAGGTTCTCATTTGATCAGTTTCCTTCCTAATATGAAACTGGCAGTTATTTTAATATATCAAATTTGAAAGTATAGTAAAGAATTTTATGAAGCAGAACTAATACTGCTAGGCATCATTACTTATGTGTAACTACTACCAGGATTTTCAGATGCTGAAGATAACTACAGGCTATCTGTTATTTTTTTAAGTGTGATAATTTTGGCAATATTTATAAATATCAAAAAATTGTAGCCAATGTAAGTATTTAATTATTGAGAAATGGTTTATATGTGAGATCACTTCAGTGGGATATTATGAATTTAGAAATGATCATGATGACAGCTAAATAGCTATATGCTTTAAAAAGTAAAATAAAACATTCAACTTATTTATAACTATAAAAGATATATACTCATTTGAGTAAGAACTAGAAAATAACGAAGAAAAAGTGAATTTTGTTTAATATTGCCCTAAGATGTTATGCGATTATACAAAACAATTTCAGGCAATTACTGTTTTAATTGTTATAAAATTAGAAATCACTTTGTATATAACTAAAAATCAAACAGAATGCACATTCACATACTCTAAAATTAGAGCAGATTCAAGCTTTGATAAAGGAACACCAACAGAACATACTTCTGGTTACACTGCATGGATCAGGATTAGATAAAGCACAAGTTATACAGGATTTTGAAAATCCATAAAGCGATATTAATATGGGTTATTAATATGGGAGCTGAAGACCTTGTGTTGATTCCTCTTTGTAATGTATTGGTTTTTAAAAATGATTTTGTACTCATTTAGTTTCTTTCAAAGACTTCATCCTTCAAAGACAAAGACATGATAGCACCCTTGAAAGACGTGGATATTTTTTAAAAAATCAATGAAATACATACATTGTATTTAATCTGTATTTACATATATGCTCTTCAGTTTGTATTAATACAGTATGCAGACTATTATGACATGTTTGCATTATTACACAGAACTTAGAAGGCCAGACTATAAACATATGTCAAAGAATGTAAAAACAAAGAAATTTCCAAGTTTACTAGTTATATAATTTAAATGTAAAGATTTTAGGAGGCTAAAAACTTTATAAACAAAATTACTACCTTCATTAATTATCCTTAAAAATGTACATAATGGTTCAAATTAACAAGGACACCTACTCTAATAAGTTATGTGGAGAACAAAGAGCTTAACACTTCTGGTTATAAAATACTAAGGACAGAAAAAGGCATCCGTTGTTATTTTTCCCATTTTCTGTTTTCCTTTCCTATGTTAATACCCCTGGATATCCAATGACTACCTGGAATACAATAGAACCATGGAATGTTCCTTTATGAATACAGATTTTCAAAAAACAAATGATAATTTATTTAAAACTTCATTAAAGATTAAAAGGGTGTTGAGTTCTTAAATAAGTTATTACTTCCACAAGTATTCTACATAGTACTTAGAGTTCTACAGTATCATAAAATGGAATTTTTATAGACATAGAAGTTGAATTTTTTTCTGGCTTATGCTAATTAATAGCTCATGCTAACACTGTAGCATAGACAGCATCTACCTGATTATAAGAGTCTGAAGTGTTTTACTGTTCACTTTTTGGAGCTACCTGGAAAGCTGTAAGGCAGGGGTAGGCCAACTTTTTTGTAAAGGGCCAGAGAGTAAATATTTTAAGCTTTGCAGCAGTATACACTTCTGGTCTCTGTCACTTTTTTTTTTAAGCAACCTTTAAAAATGTTGTAAAAACACAGCTAGCAGGCCATACCAAAAAATGGCTCACAGGCTGCAGTTTGCCAGCCCTCGAGGTAAGGCATTCCTGTATCATAAAACGCCCATTTTCTAATAACTGATGACAAAACTCAGGAGGAAACTAAGTTTTTAATTTTAAAATCAGGCCTACTATTAACATAATTGCTTATTACTAGTTACTTATAGGCAATAGTTCTGCTAACACACTGCTGATTGCTTCATAGAAATCTTTCTAAATTCAAAGCATGTTTTCCCAAATCTTTAACAAATCTATTTTAATATACTATATGTGTACACATACACACACACCCATGATTCCCAATTACAAATTTACTTATTTTCAAAATAACTAGCCAAAAATGTGTATTTAAAAACCTGTATCAGATGCTTCGAACTTGGATTACAAAGTACAAAAATAATACTGTTTCATGTAAAAGATTCCGTTCATTAAATAAAGTAACAAAACATTTGTAAGGAGGGAAAATGATACTGGTATAGGGAGAAGTCAAGCAAAGATTAAAAATCTATTGGATATAGTTCACAAATGGATAATTTACATGGTAATAATAGCTACGTGGCTTTCTAGTTAGTGAATATTCTGCTTAATTGTGAGATGATATATGCCATACATTAGATGTTACCTTTAAGTAAAATACGACACACAGAAATCAATAGTGAGTATGATTTAATTCTTGATGATTCAGTGGAAACTTGATCTTTCACCTCCAAGAATAACGGAAAGAACATGGTCCTTAGAATCAAAGAGGCCTGGAATCAGATCATGACTCCACTACTGAATAGCTATGTGTATAACCTTAAGCGGAAATAAGAGAAAATAAGTCATTTATGCAGATGAATATACTTTGATCAATTCTTCAGATTCTAAACCCTATTCAGGGTCAGTCCCTTGACCACTTAATAGATGAGGGTAGGGGCTATAAACCCAGGCCTTCCATCTAAGAGGTAGAACAATACAGTGAAAACAGCAAATACTTTGATTCTATTCACAGTTCCATCACTTACTAGCTGGAAGACCTAGTTATTAAACCTCTCTGAGCTTTAGTTTCTTAATAAAGTGGGTCTGATACCACCTACCTTTCCAGATCATTGTGAAATCAAAGGTAACATACAGAAAGTACTAAGATAAATTATACTTGAAATATTATAATTATTATGAAATGTATCCCTCACTCCATTTCTTAGAATACTTATTTTTCCACAAAGACACAATTTTATTAACAGTG